GCCAAGCCAGGCGATAGTGTTGCACTGCTTCGCAAGATACCCCTTGAACTCGTCCGTGGTCTGCGCGTGCAAGTTGTCCATTATCAGAATGGATCTCGCCTTGGGGAGCTCACCCCGCTCGCGGATCAGGCCTTCGCGGTACAACCTCTTGGCCCACTCCATGCAGAACTTTTGGTCCGCCCACGCATTCTCCTGGAAAAACACGTCCACGTCCTTGTGGTACGCGGCTTTCTCCACCGGCGAAATCCGCTTCCCCTGGCCGCGGAAAATCACCGAAATCCGCATAGTCTTCTCACCCGGACCAAAGATGACTTGCATGGTGCACTGCCTTTTCTCTAGGCCAGCAAAGNCGGGTGCCCTGTACCGTACCGGCTCTTGCAGGAGCTTGCGAAACCGCCGGTGGAAGCGCTGGATCTTTGGTAGGCGCTCTTCAACAGACTTGTTCTTGAGGTTTCTCCTGCGCCGTTTGGACAGCTTATGCTTCTTTGCCCATTTTCGTGCCCACCTGAAGGACGCGCTGAACGCCGCCGCCNTCGAGATAGCTACACGCAACGCGCCTGTCTTCTCCCACGTGCTGATCAGCCCGTTCACGAATGGCAAAGGCACTTGATCCACATTCCAACGCTCCCAGAGCTGGAACTGACCGTACTTGGGACTCTGGACTCTCCCTCCGCGACCGTCGACATTGCCGACACGTCCGATGCCTCGGGTGCCCTGTACCGTACCGGCTCTTGCAGGAGCTTGCGAAACCGCCGGTGGAAGCGCTGGATCTTTGGTAGGCGCTCTTCAACAGACTTGTTCTTGAGGTTGCTCCTGCGCCGTTTGGACAGCTTATGCCTCTTTGCCCATTTTCGTGCCCACCTGAAGGACGCGCTGAACGCCGCCGCCCGTTGGTCCTCAGGGTGATTCTCTTGCACGAGCTTCCGGAACGTGACCGTCAGCCACAGGGTCGACACCTTCAGCTTCCTCCTCCGCCGCGCCAAGAACATATTGGACAGCTTCTTCTCTTCCTCAGGAAACCACCGCTTTGGCTGCTGTTTGGCAAGGAGGGTCTTCTTCACGTCATCTGCTGCCGATTGGACTATATTGGCCTCGTCCTGAGCCCACTTCACGATCAGGCTGTAGTTGACCTTGAGACGGTCCTCTAAGTACTGGAGAGGCGTGAGCTGCTCCTCCTTGAAGAGGTCTGCGGCGTCTTCCTGGAGGAGGCGCAGCTGGATCACAACATGGGTTTTGAACCTGAAATCGTATCGCTTGCGCTTCACAGCTCCACGAGTCTCCTTGACTTTGCGGTCCGTAAAGCCGTCGCTTTCCAAGTCGAGATCGCGGAAGCGCTTCCGTTGGAGGACGAACGAAGCCGCCCCCGTCGCACCATCGACCTTCACGTGCCAACAACGTCCAGGCCCGGCTTCTCCCCACGGCTGAACATACCCTTTGGGAGTCTTCCCTAGCATCCGCTGCAGCCGCAAGCCGTTGGACATGTTTGCATTGCTGTGCTGTGTTTTCACGTGGATCCCAAGTCCTTGCTCGTTCACGAAGGTCATGGGACAGTGAGGGCACGGTATGCGCCGCTCCGGGGCCGGAGGTGGGAAGGTGATACCGGACACATGCTCTGTGACACCACCGCGAGTCCGCTCAATCTGCACGGCGCGGTAGGAGAAGGGCGGAATTGAGGTGCAGGTGATTCAACGAGCTGTGGACCTGAAATTGCGTGGATGTCGATGGCAAAATATATCTATCTATGCAGATGGGGCAAGGGATGATTACATGACCGTCTCTCGTGTGTTTGTATCACGGTGCAGCAAAAAAAAATTTACAAAATACGGTTGGGACGGCGCTCGTGTACGCGTTCTTTTTCGCCATTGTGTCTACTGTACCGTCCTTGCCTTCCTCAAGAACTTGAGGCAAACGGAGAATGTTTGAAAAAGTGGTACACATACATGTACACCATGCTGAAAGTCAGTCGTTTATATCAACCTGTGACAGAGTAGTTTTTCTCTCGTCTTTTTCATTTCATCACCACCGCGTTTTTTTTTAAACAACAGCAGCAGCAGTAGCACTCCTGCTGTATTTACACTACATACAGCTGCTGGACCGCCGTACGACTGCTGTATATATGTACATCATCACAGCAACAGAGTTCGTCAGATGACTGAACTCACCGGTTTTCCGCTGCCACGAGCGAACGCGTTGATGATGTTGCCACCTAGAACACCTTGGGCAGCTCGATCCCTGGCTTGCTTCCCCCGATCTGCGACCTTTCTCTTCCCGGCAGCCGCAGCAGTAGCAGGCGGTGGGTGCGAAGACGGTGCACCTCGCGCGCCGCCCGCATCTTGTGGCGTTAAAAACGACGGACGGGTGCTGCTGGTAATACCCTGGGCCTCTCCATCAATCTGCGTGATCCACTCTTCTTCGTTGAAGACACCCGTCTGCTCCAGCCCCCATGCGTTCTCGATTGCGTCCCATCGCTCCTTCGCAACGGAGTTGCCCGCCTTCACATGTGCCTTTATCGTCTCGAAGTGACGGTCAAGAATCAGTCCTCGTTGTTTCAACTCCGAGAGTTTGCCAAGGTCCTTCAACAACCCATGGGATAAGGGGTTGGACAGGGACATGATCCCCCTGCACGGCAGGCAACTCGTGGCACGCTGCACCACGTTGCGTGGTAAATTAAAAAAACTCGCTGGCACAGGGGCACAACGTGTATGTACAGCAAACCCCCACCTCAAAATGAAATCTAAAAAGGGATAGTCTAGGTAGGTATGGTCCGTTCGGGCAAATGTTCACATTCTTGTTTTTCGCGATATCTTTCGAAAAAAAACGATTTGGAAAGTGAAACAACTTTGGGCGTGACCGCGGCGTCGAGCTTCGTCGATATCTGATGAGTTTTTGGTGATTGGGTGAAATGCGACATTTTTGACCAAAATGACCCACGGAGCCCCCA